TCCCCAGCAGCTCGCTGCCTCTCTTGCCAAAGAGCGGCCTCTGGTCATGGAAGCCAAAGCCTTCCCAATGACACCAGCATGGCCATCTTTGGTTCACTACCTGGATCCTCCTCTCCCTCCTCAGCCCATACTCTGAGACTGGGAGGATCGAAGAGAACACCACCTGTGCCCCCAGACCGTTTAGCCCTGCTCCCAAATCCCTATAGTGCCTCATGACCCAGCTGGGAGAGCTTCGAGCTGTGTCATTGGTTCCCACATGAATAAGGAGCATGGGTGGTCTGTGGGCTGGAGTAGCTTAGGAATCTTGTCCGCAATGTCTCAGATGCGGGCTCCTGGGAAGCAGCAGACTTCCCAGGCTAAGGGGTCGGGGCAGCAGATTACCCCTTCAGTCCACCTCAGGATGATGTCTCCCAGAACAAACACTTTACATTTTGTCTTGGGGAGAGTGAGGATGGTAGCTTAAGTTGGGCCTGTGTTGCCTACAGGAGCTGGCAGCTCAGCAGGCTCTGCTGGGGCTGAGAGAGGTTCATACCTGTTGCTAAGCTCTGGTGGGGCAGGAGCCTTGGTGTGGCAGGCCCGAGGGCCCTTGGCCACCTTGGTCCATCCCCCTGACTGGACAGAATGGGAGGTCCCGGAGTTCTCCTTTGTCCTGGAGGGAGACCGTGGTCTGCCCTCCAGCTCCCGGGGGAGAAGGGCCTGGCATTAGGAGTCTATCTCCTGCTTGCAGTGCCTGATGGCACACAGTCTCTGTACTGTGGCCTGGAGCTCCTCCAGCTGCCGCGCCAGAGACCTCAAAAGGGAGCTGACCGCACAAGGGGAGGTGTCCATGCTCCCGGGCCCCAGAGCCTGAAAAAGGGACAGGCAGCCCCTGAAGCCGAGAGCCAGGAGCTCTGTCTTCATGGAGACCAGAACCATGGGCTCTGTCTGGGTGGAGGTCTCTGAGGTGCTGGGGGGGGCTGCACACCCCGAGGGGACCTTTGGGGTGCGGCACATGCCCATCCGTGTCATGCTGCTGGTAGGCCGGCTGGTAGGCGGGCTGGGCCCGAGTCTGCCTACCCTAGGGGGGCTCGCAGGCAGGGCCACGGGCCCTCCCGCGCACCTTCCTGTGCGAACTCTGTGCTAACTCACGCGCCGGCAGACAAGCACACCTGTTTGCGTGGCCTATTCATGAGGCTCCGGTCGCAGCGGCACATGCCCATCCGTGTCATGCTGCTGGTAGGCCGGCTGGTAGGCGGGCTGGGCCCGAGTCTGCCTACCCTAGGGGGGCTCGCAGGCAGGGCCACGGGCCCTCCCGCGCACCTTCCTGTGCGAACTCTGTGCTAACTCACGCGCCGGCAGACAAGCACACCTGTTTGCGTGGCCTATTCATGAGGCTCCGGTCGCATGGCTCCCTGTGGGACTGGGTGAAGTAGGGGCCTGGGCGGGGCGAGACGTGGCCTGCTCCACTCAGCCGCCTCCTCCCACTCTCTAAGGGTTAACCCCCTCCCACCACGGGCCCTGCTTACCTCCGGCTGTGCTGGGGGTCGGCGGGGGGCTCCACGGCTGCTGGGTGGTCTCTGGGGGGCTTCAGGGGCGCAGTGGGCTTTCACCCGTGTGTCTCTTGCCGCTCCCGGAGCCTAACTGGGGCTTTTTTGCTGTTGGCAGGCCCTTTTAAACGACGCACATGTGCAGTGGGCCTGCCGTCGGTGGCAAACTGCTCCCGGGGGACAGGCAGGGGAGAAGAGGAGGAGGAGTTGCACTTTATGTAAAATATCCATATGATTGCTCAGATCTCCGGTATGAAGCTGGAGACAGACCTGTTGAGAGTCTCTGGGTTAGGGTCAGAGGGGAGAGCAACAAATGTGATGTCATGGTGGGGGTCTGCTTTAAGCCACCAGACCAGGAGGAAGTGGTGGATGAGGCTTTCTTCAAACAGCTGGTGGAAGTTTCCTGATCACAGGCCCTGGTTGTCATGAGGGACCTCAATCACCCTGACATCTGCTGGGAAGGCAATACAGCAGTGTGTGGGCAATTCAGGAAGTAACTTCCTTACTGAATGGGGGAAGTAACGTTGTGACAGAGGATGCAGAAAAGGCAGAAGAGCTCAATGCCCTTTTTGTCTCAATCTTCACAGGCAGTCATCTCCCAGACTACTGTGCCAGGCAGCACAGTTTGGGGCAAAGGGGAGGTGTGCAGCCCTCAGTGGTGAAAGAACAGGTTAGGGACTACCTAGAAAAGCTGGACATATACAAGTCCATGGGGCCAGATGGGATGCACCCGAGGGTGCTGAGGGAGTTGGCTGATGTGATTGCAGAGCCACTGGCCCTCATCTTTGAAAATTCATGGTGACCAGGAGAGGTCCCAGGTGTTTGGAAAAGGGCAAACATAGTGCCCATATTTAAGAAACGGAAAATGGAAGATCCAGGGAACTACAGACTGCTCAGCCTCACCTCAGTCCCTGGAAAAATCATGGAGCAGATCCTCAAGGACTCCCTTTCAAAGCACTTGGAGGAGAAGAAGGTGATTAGGAACAGTAAGCATAGATTCACCAAGGGCAAGTCATGCCTGACTGACCTGATTGCCTTCCATGATGAGCTAACAGGCTTTGTGGATGTGGGGAGACTGATGGATGTGGTGTACCTTGATTTTAGCAAGGTTTTTGATATGGTCTCCCACAACATTCTCCCAGGCAAGCTAAGGAAATATGGACTGGATGAATGGACTGTAAAGTGGATAGAAAACTGTCTGGAGCATCAGGATCAGACAGTAGTAATCAATGGCTCAATGTGTAGTTGGAAGCATGTATCAAGTGGAGTGTCCCAGAGGTTGGTCCTGGGGGTGGTTTTGTTCTGTGTCTTCATCAGTGACCTGGAAGATGGCAAAGAGTGCATCCTCAGCAAGTTTGCAGATGACACCAAGCTGGGGGGAGTAGTAGATACATTGGAGGGTAGACCTAGGATTCAGAGTGATGTAGACAAATTGGAGGATTGGGCTAAAAGGAATCACATGAGTTTCAACAAGGACAAGTGTAAAGTCCTGCCCCTAGGATAGAACAATCCCATTAACCAGTACAGGCTGGGGGCGGACTGGCTGGGCAGCAGCTCTGCAGAAAAGAACCTGAGGGTTACAGCAGACAATAAAAGCTGAACGTGAGCCAGAAGTGTGCCCTTGTTGCAAAGAAGACTAATGGCATGGTGGGCTGTATTGATAGGTGTGTTGCCAGTAGGTCAAGGGAAGTGATTATTTCCCTCTGTTCAGTGCTGTTGAGACCACATCTGGAGTACTGTGTTCAGTTTCGGCCCCCCCCCAGAAAGAACGTGAACAAATTGGAGAGAGTTCAGCAGAAGGCAACAAAAATAGTGAGGGGGCTGGGGAGCATGACTTAGGAAAGACTGAGGGAACTGGACTTATTTAGTCTAGAGAAGAGGAGACTGAGAGGGGACTTAATAGCAGCCTTTAACTACTAGGGAGATGTAGTTGCAAAGGAGATGGAGATAAGACTGTTCTCAGTGGTGGCAGATGAGAGAACAAAGATCAACAGTCTCAATTTTAGCAAAGGAGGTTTAGGTTAGCTATTAGGAAGAATTTTCTCACTCAGAGCGTAGTAAAGCACTGGAACAGGTTACCCAGAAAAGTGGTGGAAGCTCCACTCTTGGAGGTTTTCAAAACCCAGCTAGACAAAGCTTTGGCTGGGATGATCTAGGTGGGGATGGTTCTGCTTTAAGCTGGGGTTGGACTTGATGACCTCCTGAGGTCCCTTCCAACCCTAACTTTCTGTGATTCTATAAGAAGGACAAGCTTCCCCATACACTGTCCTGATAATGTGTCTTCACCTGTGATCTCAAGGGGTAGGTGGGTCATTTAATAGATGCCTCCATTCATTCCTTAGCCTTCCTGGTGAGATAGTTTGACAAGGTGAGGGTTGCTGTTGTGTTATGTATACCTGTCCACCTGAAACTGGTTTGACCTCAAGAGTTTAGCTGAGAAACACAGCCAGGAACTTAGACCTACCCTCCTCAGCCTGTCTGGTTTGTCAGTTAGGAAAGGACTGGAGATATTAGTGACAATCTGGTTGCCTCACATCTTTGCTCCATAATCAAATCTTCCTACTTCTGAGGTGACTTCTGAAAAGAAACAACACTAGGTGAAAAGTCATGAGTTGTTTTGTTTCTTGTTCTCAGGACCCAACTCGGGTGGTCAGTCCAGTTATCGACATCATCAACTTAGACACTTTTGCCTATGTGGCAGCCTCATCAGACTTACGAGGAGGTGAGTGAACTCTAGTCACATCCTGATGGGGACTCTGTCCTGTTTTGCTCCAAGTACAATGCACCCACAAAGGAAAAAATCTGACCAAACATGAAGTCAGCATCAAGTCCAAATTCATTGCTCTAAGGGGTATAACAAAGCTGTTCTGCGCCAGACATGCTAAAAATGTTCAGTTGGCAGTTTTTAAGGTTAGCTTGGACTTACTTAATGGTACCTAGAGGGAATGGAGTTCATTAGGGTAGAGTAACCAGGCAGATGGAAAGCATCTCATCAAAGCTAACCCCTGGCAGCAATGAAAGTCAATGATATAAGGTGTAATGATGGCACAGCAAAATGCAGGTGTGATGGTAGCATGGGCAGACATACTGTGCTAGTTTAATTTACCTCACATTGGTTATGGTAGCAGTAAAGACAGGCTTTAGCACATACTAGCAACCAGAGGGTCTCTGAAGTATTTGTACACTGGCTGCTGGTAACTGTCAATCCTCCTGGATCATGGTGTATGCATGAGAGCCAGCCAGACCTTTGATGCATATGCCTGGGCAGGAATTTTTGGAGGAGTGGAGGCTGCGCAGACCTTCCATCCTTCCTTTAGGCGACTGAGACAGAATCCAAAGACCAGATTGAGCCCAGATGTTTGGTGCCTCTATGGCTGTAGTTGTTTAAGTGGCTGGGAATTGAACGCAGGTCTCCTGTGTGGTAGATAAGGATTCTACCACTGAACCACAGGGGACTCCACACTGGCTGTTAGCACATAATGAAAGCTGTGCCACTGCATCTTCACTGCTCTTGTTAATCATGTAGCTAGATTAAGGTAGCACAGGTAGGATAGCACATATGCCCATCCTATTTTCATTTTGCTGTGTGGGTATACCACAAGGGGTTTGAAGTCCCATTCTGAGGCTATGGGTAGCTTGATTCTCTGCAGTGTTACTTCAGATACTCACCAATGCCAAACCAAAATGACATAATGATGGATTAGGTGCTCTACTAAGTCCTAGCTTGTAGCTCTGATATAATGCATTATGTTCCTTACCAATCAGTAAGTGATGACTACTAATTGGATACTCTCATTTCCTGGGTACCCAGCTTAAAACCTGGGGTGTGATTTGTGGAAGTGCTGAATGATCACAGCTGCAACTTAAGTTAATTGGAGCCCTGCTGTGAGCCTACAGCATGCCATGTAGGGCTAAGTTCTGTGGAAAAACCAGGGCATAGGCATCTCAGCATGGGTACCAAAGTTAATGTATACTTCAAACCCTAATCTTTTTGTGTCTCAGTTCTGTAACATGGGCATAATCCTTTGGCTCGTCTCATGGGAGAGTTTGGGAAGCACTCTGGGGGTGCCCTGATGAACCTCAAAGACTCTTCAATGTCTTCATCAGCGACTTGGATGAGGGAGTGAAGTGTACTCTGTCCAAGTTTGAGGATGATACAAAACTGTGGAGAGAAGTGGACACACCGGAGGCCAGGGAACATCTACAGGCAGACCTGGGCAGGTTGGACAAATGGGCAGAAAACAAAAGAATGCAATTTAACAAGGAGAGATGCAAAGTGCTGCACCTAGGGAGGAAAAATGTCCAGCACACCTACTGCCTAGGAAATTACCTGCTTGGTGGCACGGAAGTGGAAAGGGATCTCGGAGTCCTAGTGGACTCAAAGATGAACATGAGTCGTCAGTGTGACGAAGTCATCAGGAAAGCTAATGGCACTTTATCGTGTATCAGCAGATTCATGATGAACAGAACCAAGGAGGTGATACTTCCCCTCTATCGGGCACTGGTCAGACCGCAGTTGGAATACTGCATCCAGTTTTGGGCACCACACTTCAAGAGGGATGTGGATAACCTGGAGAGGGTCCAGAGAAGGGCCACTCGTATGGTTATGGGCTTGCAGGCCAAGCCCTACCAGGAGAGACTAGGGCACCTGGACCTCTTCAGCTTCCGCAAGAGAAGGTTGAGAGGCGACCTTGTGGCTGCCTATAAGTTCATCACAGGGGCACAGAAGGGAATTGGCGAGGCTCTACTCACCAAGGCATCCCTGGGGATCACAAGAAATAATGGCCACAAGCTAGCAGAGAGCAGATTTAGACTGGACATTAGGAAGAACTTCTTCACAGTTAGAGCGGCCAAAATTTGGAATGGGCTCCCAAGGGAGGTGGTGCTCTCCCCTACCCTGGGGGTCTTCAAGAGGAGGTTAGATTGCCTATGCAGGGGGTTGGACTCGATGATCTATTGAGGTCCCTTCCGGCCCTAACATCTATGAATCTATGACTAGTCCAATATGAAATTGATAACAAATACGTAAGGTATGTGACCATGCACTAAACAATGATAGGAAAAAGAAGTCCTGAATGGCCCATCGTTCAGTGAGCACTTTCCATTCTGTACAACTCTGAACAGTAGAGCCCTGTGGGAAAAATGGTATGCAATTATCTAACTAAAAGCTGTATCCTAATCCACATGCACAAGGGGGCTAACATATACCTTCATTTTCAGATTTAATATTTGTATGTCCTGATTTCTGCATGCTTGACTGCAACTTTACTGTAACTTTTTATTTGTAATATCGAAATGTGTTGGATGCTGGCATGATCTCCCTGTGGTCTGAATCACTTCAAACTGGAGGATAGGAAACAATTCTGAGTTGGCCAAGGGATGGTTTTGACAGCCCCCATGCTGTCAAAACCATCCCTCTAATTTCTCTGTGATCCTTCTCTACCTTTTAGGATTTGACTGGAGCCTACATTTCAAGTGGGAGCAGCTTACCCCAGAGCAGAAAGCCAAACGTGTTGATCCCACCGAGCCGATTAAGTAAGTAGCAATGTAGGGAAGGGGACACTGGAGTCACTAGGGGGTCTGTGTGGAGAAAGTACTCATATTGAAATGGTGCCTGGTAGGCTGATTTTGCCAGTTTGACTCACCCATTAAAAGATTCCCTTGCTTTCAGCAGTTTTGGATCACTCCATGAATGCAAATGGTTAACTATTTTTGCAGCTGTAGCAACAGATCCCCTCATTTAGCTGGATCAGAGAGAAATTTGAATATGCAGGTAATCCAGTTTAAAATGTGGCACCGTGAAAGAGGTGGATCAGGGCTGAGATGTGCTCCACAGGAGCCCTGAAACTCATGGTTCTATCCTGACTTCCAGTTTGCTTTGGATATTGCAGCACAGCTTCACCTCCTAACAATGTACTGCAGACAGTACAGTGTCACAGTGCAAAGACAGTGGTTATTCCTACTACAGTAGTTCCAAAAAGTTCCACATGATGATTTTCCCTGAGAAGCTAAGGACAAATAGGTGAAAGCTCCTGGTTTCTCCATCCAATGAATAAGACCGTTTCCCTTCTTAAAAGGCTCTTTCTTTAGTTCTGACAATTCACGTTTTACCTGAGGACAAGAGGCTTCCTTTACAAGTGGTAATGCCCTTCACAAAAGCAGGTTGTTCAGACCTCACCTTCCAAACTAGCATTGCTCTTCCAAGTTGCCCAGGGGGTGGTCAGAAAATCTAAAAGGCTGAGAAATGAATGCTGGATTAAACGCACTGAGAGATGAAGAGAAAGAATCCCTTGGGCTGCAAGGAGTACCTCACTTTACCTACAGCCACCCCTTGGGGCTAGCTAATTCAGTAGCATCTTGACTGGAGACAGAGTTGCTGTAGCCTGGGCCATAGAAAAGGCAAGAGCTATGGTGAGAGCTCGTAGCTCCAGAAAGGAAGCAGAGAACATGCACCCAATTTTATCAACCTCTGAGAGCAGGAATTTGCCACACGGATCTCAAAATGTCACTAGATGACACCGGACAGAGCTTCTGAAGTCATTAGAAATATCACTAGAACATTTAATGAACATTAAACATAGCAAACTGGTACAGGAACGTTGATTTCATTTGTTTTATTAACAGCAATCCCCCAAAAGTCACTAAGGACCCCACAAAGGTGCTAGATCTAACAGCCAAATGGCTAAGCTGGCAGTACTGTGTACATCGCAGTAAGGAAAATCTTGCTGCTGTTTCTTAACAAGAACTCTTATTTGTCTCCTGAAGGGCCATCTCACTTCATAATCACCCTGTCATGTAAAAATAATTGGAACTTCATTGCAGCACACAAAGGCCACCTCTGTGAGGCCTGACACAAATTCAGCCCTGCTTATTTCAGTGCAATTGCAGGACTTAAGAGTAGCTTGTAGAAATAGGACTTATTCCATCACTCCTAAAACAATCCTCCTCACTCCTCCCCCCACCTGCATGACTTCGCTGTGCTGCTCTCCTCATCTAAACCGAAGAGTGAAAAATAACCCTGCTCTGAAAAAAAAATCAAACTGATAGAAATGGCTTCTTAAAAGCCCTTTTGAATAGGCAGTGCTCTCCCCTGTGCAGTAGAACGGTGCTCTTAATACGCTATCTTCCAGCACAAACCCTGTTTGAGTAATGTCATGTAAATAACCCCCCCAGCGCTAAGTGCATTTTTGATTCTGAAGCCTACAATCAGGGCTGCGAACTTTGGGCTTGGAGAAGTCGTGCTGATGGGTGCATTAGCCAGTCTTTAAGTACCAAGCAATTTGTGACCTATGGAAAAAGACAGAGGCAGCTGGTTAAATGGCTCTGCCACCTTCTGAGGTGCAAGTCCTGGTGTTGAGTAATAGGAAGATTCATAGGTGGTGCTCTGAGAGCAGAACAGAAAGCAAAGGGAAGTTGTAGTCTGTGCATCTGGGGGTCTGCATAGCTGTTTGAGTGAGTTCCTGTCCCCTCTCTTCTTCCCCGTCTCTACAGGACTCCAATCATCGCAGGGGGACTCTTTGTGATTGACAAAGCCTGGTTCAACCACTTGGGAAAGTACGACACAGCCATGGACATCTGGGGAGGGGAGAACTTCGGTGAGTCACTATTGTTGTGAGTGGAGGGGGCCAATCCTCAACCTCCGAGCTGTTGAGGCTGGCTTTCTCTTGACTAGCCTCAGGCTGATATCTGCTTTGTCTAAACTCCTTCCCCAGTGCTCTCTGCAGGGCTTCCCCAGTCATTTCCAACAGCCTAAGTAAGTAAGGGGCTCCTTAAGGTCTCAAGGTACTGACAGTACTCAGGGATTAGCCATGACTGTGGTTCCCTTCCCTGTGTGGTATATAGCTACAATGCTGCAAAGGGTTGTGAACAGGTTGCAGGAGGCTCTAAGAAATCTCCTGTCTCTCCCTTTTCTTAATGCTATCATTAAAGAATATATATGTGTTTCTAGTTTTTCCATTTGTGGGTATAATCTCAAAAACATAAGATGGCACAGTTATGCTGTGGCCTGAATTTGCAGAGCCCCTGACACAGTGGCTCAGGGGTTTTCAACCAGGCTGCAGTAGACAGGCATTGGGCCCCAGTCACTCAGTGTGGGATCCCAGCTGGATCTTCTTGGCTGAGGGGTTTCCATTAGGAAAAGATTTAAGAATCCCTGCCCTAACCTGCTTGATGGTAAATGGATTACAGTCCCACATGCTTCACGTCACCTAACTCTACCTCAGCCATCTCAGTTTCCAGCTTTTTGTCAGGTAGCTCCTAAGAGTAAGGTTTGCAAAGGAGATCAAACAGGTTATACCATTCTCTTCCACCATGTCAAATACAGCTAGATCAGGCTGGACAGTTTTCTGTCTGCAACTCTAACGATGCAGCAGATCAGAGCGGTAGGCTGTAGCCATGCAAGAAGAAGGAGGTATTTGATGTCAGGGAGACAGTTCTTAAGCTGGCTTTAATACTTTGATACCTCTGGGGAGCATGGCTAGCAAGGAAAAAAATTGTGTGTTTTAAAAAGATATAGCAGTGCTGTCAGTGAGCCAAAGGAACAGATGCTAGTGCTTTGCAATAACCCCATCCATTGTCTGGCGCTATTGCTTTCTTCCATATGCCTTTTTCTCTAATGTATTTATTTATATCTTGCCACGTAGGAGCTTGCTTTCTCTCTTTCTCTCTCTCTCTCTCTCTCTCTCTTTGTATATGTGTATCTCAGTGAATTTCTTGCCAGTGTTTTGACCTAAAGCAACTGCTCTTCCTAACAGGATTGGTCCACCTCCCCTGCTGGATCACTGGCCTTACAAATAAAACGCCTTCGAAAAGAAAACTAAATGTAAATAAAGGAACTGGCACATTAGCTTTGATCCATGTTCCACCCAGTCCTATGTCTTTTCCCTGACCACGAGCACTACTAGCTGCTTCCAGAGAAAGAAAAAGAGAGAGGGAGAGAAACTAAAATGGGCAATTATGAATATGCTGCCCATACCTGATGTTTCTTCACAACCCCTGTCAAACAGCAGTTAATCGATGCCTTGCAGTATGACAGTTCACATAATATGCGTTGCTCAAGGCTCTGTCAGGTAGCAAGATGCTTTTGGTTACTGACAGAATTCCCTTTGAGACTGGTGCTGACTACAAAGTGTTCTCACCTTTCCAGTGCCAAAGGCAAACAGAGTCATGGGATCCCAGCTCACATCAAACAGAGGCCAAAATTCTCGCACACCCAAGTTTTAGTAGCCACGGGGCTTGCAGACTATATGTTTCACTAGTCTTGGAACAGCTTCTGTTCTCTGGGAAGCAGAGGTGATGAAGCTTGTCCATCATCAGGTGGAAAAAATCAGCCACAGCCCAAATTTATACATGGCAGCAGGAAGTCCATTTTGTTGCAGTTGTGCAAAGCAGTCACGATCTTCCTTCACAGGGACCTCATAGAAGTCCAAAGAAGTGCAGAAATGGATAGTGTTGGATAGCCAAGTTCTTGCTTCTGGAGGCAGGAAGAGGCACTCTGTGGAAGGCATGCAGTCTTGTGGGTTTCATTGGTAGCTACAATCACATCATCTCTTTGTGCTTCGCCTTTCCTTTTCCTACTCCTCTTACTATATGTACATACAGTACAGGGCATAAAGGCATCCCAGCCTTGGTTGGGGCCTTAGGCACTATTGCATTCTTAGTAACACTAGTCCTATGTAGCCTTCCCTGAGGCAGTGCCATCTGGACCATAACAAGTCTTCCAAGGAAGGGATCTTGGTGTCCTTCTGCACCAACTGTGATGGCTCTGAAGTGGACTCAGACTGGTCTGTAAAAGGGAAAGTACCAAAGATAAAACAATAGAAGGGATAGCACATAGTATTGCAGCAATATTGGACTTGCAGGTCTAGATGCTTGAGGTTAGGTCCAACCCATGCTTGCCCCTGCACTACTCCCACCCCTGGAGATCAGTATGTGTCTTGCAGTGTTCTAGGCATGCAGCTCCTAGTCTTTCAGAGGCAACAGAAGCATATGTCCCTCCAAGCTCTTGTAGGTCAGATTCTGACCCAGCTTACATCAATATGTTACCCCTGGCTGCTGGGTAAGTGAGAGAGGCATCAGAACTTTGTGATTCATGTTGGAGGTTCTGCACATGCCATTCAGTAGCCAGGTGCTCTTTTTATTCGCTTTGCAGTGAAATGCACACTAGCCCTGTGGCAATTTGCTCTCCTTTCTAATTGGATGCAGTGTTCAGAATACTGTGTAGCACTACAGCTTGTTTCTAACATTATTCATTGAGCTCCACTTCTTTATGGTAGTGGAATTACCAGCCAAGAGAAGAACGATAGACTGCATTGAAAACAAAAGCAAGTTCCAGTCTGCATTGAAAATAAAGGGGAGGGCATTTGGGCACTGTTTGTTCCCAAATTGGTTTGGAACTAATTTTATTTCATAATGTGTGAGTGAATTTACCCCTCCTTATGTAAGGGGATGGAGGAACAGGCTCCAAGATTGAAGATGCTTCATCCCACTACTACATGACCAAGTCTCCAGTACACCCCACCCTGATCTGCCTGTAGGGGGTGCAACAGGGCTGTTTAATTATCCTTGGTAATGTTGGAGTGATGCTATAGCTGTGATGGTCCAGAAAGTATGCAAGAGGCAAGGACTTTTATAGCTAATATCTTTTATTGGGTTGTCTTTGGGTGCTGAGAATACAAGGAGGGGAGCCAGATGTGATGTGGACCCTTCTCTGTTCTGTTACTGCCATTGCCTCCTCCAGAAGTTATAGTTATGATGGGAAGGTCTTTGTTGCATGAACCCAGGCTCTTTGTAGGTGTCTTCTGTAGCGGAGGGGAGACTGAATGACCAGGACTAGCTGCAGGAAACGAAGAGAACTGTATTTCTCTGTCAGGGTGGGAGGCCGTGGCTGACAGAGCTGGAAATACTTTAGCACTTGACATTTCCTATTTTGCAGCATCTCCCTGAAATGCAGTTAAGAGAATGTGAGTGGATTATAACAGTGGTTTAAAGACAATAAGGAAAGTGCAACAGGGATTGGCTTTCAGTGGGAAAATGCTTTTGTGGGCATGAGTAAAAGACCAGGTTAGGTGTGAGAGCATCCAGCTTCTACTCCTGCTTCTGTGACATGGACACATGCTGTGCCTCAGTTTCCCCACCTGTTAATGCACATAATGCCACCACCTTCAGGGGTGTCATGAGGATTACTTGTTAGCATGGATAGAAAATGGAGTGTAAGAGGGCATAATGCATTAAGCTATATAGACCTGAAGGACTTTATCGCCTCCACTGGGGTTAGTCAGGGTCTGTCAGGACACTGTTTGAAGCTTAATTCTTTCCTTCTAAGCAGCTTTTGCATTTTGAGCACTAGGTTTTCATTCTGATTCTCAGTGCTCAGAGATTACATCCTCACCCCTCTTCATTACGACTTAAATTATGAGCAAGCACTGAGAAATCTGCAAGCCTTTCTCCTTTAGTACTTCAGACAGACCTAGTCCATGTAAGCTGAAGAACTGGGACAGATAATAGGGAGTTACAGTGCAGCATCCACAAACCAGTCTGCAACTCTTCAACTAATCTTATGCTCATCAGTGCTTCTTTTAATTGCAGTGACACTCAATGACCAAACAGCCTACTGCACATGGGTAAATAAAGAATGACAGCCACGTGTGAGAAGACCTAAATGGAGCAGCTTAGAGCAGCCAAATCCTTAGCCTCATCTTCTTGCTGCTGTGATTAAGGTTGTTCCCAATATAGCACTAAGACATGGCACAGGGGCATGTTTTATTGGTCCATTAATATGCACCTTTGGGGAGAGCCATGAAGTTCCAGCTGTTGCAGGAGCAGCTTTCTCCTCTCTGGATGCTGCAGTGAAAAGCAAAGTGGTAGCAGGGAGGGAATTTCTGAAAGGAAGCATTGACCCTTGTTCCCACCTTCTGCAATTTGCCTCCCAGCTTAAGCTAACAGCCCCTGACTGGTGCTGTTATAAATAGAGATGGGCTCAAGCCATGAATATTGGGCTCCACATATCATATTAGTTGCCTCAAAAGGAAGAGGGATTTGCGTTTAGGCTAATCTGTCCTTTGCTTTGAATCTGGGACAGCTGTGTGCAGTGAGAGCTGGGAAGAGGCTCCCTCCTGTCAGTGCCTGGGTGAACCCCAAAGCCACACATATGTGTGTCTTTGTGAGCAAATGAATACTGTGTGGACAAGGAGGGTCTGATTCTCCTTTTTTTACCCTCTTGTTGTGGGTCAAGAGGAATATCATTGAGGGGCAAAGCAAGGCAAATGGAAGGAGACTTGGACCTTCCAGGTCATGCTCTGATTGGCTGCTTTGGCCCAGCTGGTGATAAAAAGAGCACAGATCAAATTTGTCCCCCAAATGTAAGTTGTAGATCAAAATACCTGAGTGAATTAGAATAAAAATTGCAGTGGAGACATTGTAATGCCAAGGGAAGGCTCTCCCCCTTTGGAAACTTGAGCTTCAAATCGGGGTTGCATGGCTGGATTGTCTGACAACCAGTTGTACCTGGGGTTCTGGCTCTGCCTGTTACTGACTCACTGAATCACTTTGGAAAAGTCTCTTCATTTCTCTGTGCCTCATTATCTCCATCAGGTACTAGCAGACCAGGAAATAGTTCTGCAGCAGAAATGACCAGGGCTTGAGAGCCGAATTCTGAGGGGGGGAGGTAAAGAGCTAAAGATCGTGTGGGGAACTTGGCTAACCTACAAGGCAGGTGTGGACAGAACACAAATCCACACATACCTCAAACATGTTGACGTGAAGTGGGAGGAAACATTGGAGTGATGGGTAAGCACGTAACCCAGAATAACATGGATTTAAGAAAGTGAAATTTCAGGTCATACTGCCTGCAAGTGAGGTGCATAAATTTCCTCCAGGATAGGACAGAAATGCCACTACTTAGGACTTTTAATTCTAACACTTTGGGGAGATTTTCAAAGGTACAAGTGGCAGCTAGGCTTTGAACTGCCACTGGTTTCTATAGGAGTTGAGACATGTAAGTGTCACCTTTGGCTTTACAGTATCTCCAGTTCTTGTTGGTTTGCATTGCAGTGTAGAGGATGTGTCTAAACAGCTTCCATTGATCTGAAGGAAAGAGTATAGCTGAACTGTCTGCACTGCTTTTGAAGTCTCAACCTTGCCTGCTGAGAAGCAGGGTAAATTAGTCTACTCAGAGCTCTGTGATGCCACAGCTAGATTGCTCCCAGTGCCTGAGGTGGCTTGTTTAAAGCTCATTTCAAACTAGCTTGTGTATCTCTACACTACACTGCGGTCTGCTGTGTAGCCCTGATACAATAGTAAAATGTGGGTAATAACACTCTTACCTCACAGAAGAGTGAGTGTGAATGGATGCTTAAAAAGCTTGTTAAATGCTAAATATTGTTCTATGCTGTCAAAAAATCATTGTATAGGATACAAAGAATTCTGAAACTGCCTTTTTCTTGATTCCTTCCTTTTTCACATGGGGCTTGCATGGCCTGTTTATGTCAGTTATATGATGACTTAGTGATGAAGCTGCAGATTGTGATGGGTTCATAGTTGTTAAGGCCAAAAGTCACCATTATGTCATCTAGTCCAGTCTCTAGTAGAATACAGACCGTTAGAATTACATCCAGTTATCCATGTAAATGGGTATCTCATTTGTGATGTCAAGCTCTTGTTCCACAGGGGATATAACACCTCCAAAAACCTAAAAACCAGCTTTGGGTGCTTTGGACTAGACTCTGTATATGCTACAATGTTTTGCTAGCATAACCATGTCATTTGGGGGTGTGAAAATCCCTGGTCTCAGTGAACCAACAGCAGAAGCTTCCGCTGGCTTTGCTAATGTCATTCAAGGAGGTACTGTAACTGCTATGCTCTCAGAAAAACTTCTTTTGCCACTCCTAGAAGGGGCTGCTGACAGCTGTGGTGGCATACCTGTAGCAGCAGCAGCTCCATAATGCAGGCAAGCCCCATATTTCTAAATACCGAAAGCTCTGTTTTCTATGCTGATTTTACACACAGCTGCCCTTTGCACATGAAGGGTGTTGACAAATGACTGTTGCACACACAAGTGCAGCATAGCCACTGTAAGTCGCATCCAATAAGATGCTGAACACCTCCAGTAAAGCTCTGAGCAGCCCTAGCTCTGAGACTTTACACAGACCTGACAGGAACACCAGCACCTTTCTACAAAGCTCAGGGCTTTGCAGGATTAGTCCTTTATTCATAAAAACATGGATCTTCTAAGGTACATTATAATCATTAATAAACTGAATTCATACCCTCTCTTGGTGAACTGAGGAGCCCCTGTGGAGGGAAGTGGTTCTGAATTATGCAGTGCAGAAGTAATTACAAGAGCAAGAAATTGCAAGATGTTTCTGAGATGTAAGCTGTGCTGCATATAAAGGGACCTACTTACAGCCTAGCTTTTTCCATTGTGATATTACCCGCTGTGCTATAGGCCGATTTCAAGTGGGCTAACTTCAAACAGATAGTAAGTAGCTTTGAAATGTACTTTTAAGAAGGCTGAGCCTAGCGAGGCCCCTCCAGTAATGGATTGACCCTGATGTGGCGTGGAAAAGGATAAAATGAGAGATAAACCAGGATCCCATCCTGCTCTGGTACTGGGCAACAGTGCTGAAGCCAACTCTCTTATAGAAATCTCATTCCGTGTGTGGATGTGTGGTGGGAGCCTGGAAATTATTCCCTGCAGCCGAGTCGGCCATGTCTTCCGGAAGAAACACCCTTACGTCTTCCCAGAAGGAAACGCCAATACATATATAAAGTAGGTATATTGCATTTGCTGCCTTCCTGTGCCACTGAATAATGGCCTGCCCTGGGAGAGAAGGAGCTGTGATAAAGGGAGAGTGTAGTTTGTGGTAATGGTGGATGCCAGGAGGAAAAGTTTGGCTGTGAAAGTTAATGTTAATAGCAATACAAGAGTTTCCCAACAAAAAGCAGGCTTAAACGCAGGTGTACCTGGTGCCCTAAGGATTTCTTCAGCATAGGGCACTCTGTCAGGGGCACTACAGTGCCATAGAGTTTCCAATATCACCTTCCCTGATTCCTTACACACAGGGTATGACTAGAATGCCTTGCACCTTGCTGAATCCCGTCTGCCAAAACAGTTGATGATTTACATGAGGGACCAAGATGGCACTAAACTCAGAGAAGCAGGAAGGTATTTTAGTCTCCACTGACCTGCAGCCTGACACAGCTTAGCCAGACTGGAAAATCTTGCCCAAACGCCTCTAGGAGTGTAAGCCTCACTGGAGCACCGGTTAGTGCAAGCATTGATTAGCACATATACTGCTCGCACAAAGGCTTTGCTGAATCATTGACAAGTATCAATGACAAAAAAATGAGCCAGAGTGGTGTCTCCTGTTGACTTAAGGTACAGATGGTTCAATCCCCAAGCTGATGTTACCTCCAGAAGAGAGACTCAGGAATGCTTGGACTTCTGACATCTAGAAGCAATTGGCTCCACTGGAACTGGCTGCTTAACACAGCATACTGGCTGGAAAAGCTGAAAGCAGAGTTTTTGGCAACTCTGATCATGAGACAATACATGACCCAGGTAGCCTATAATGTACGCAGTGTCATGGGAAAAACTAGGCACTGTATTACACAGTTAAGATGACCAATTTGTAACCCTTCCAAGGCTGTCTGCCCCCTGGAGGAGGTGCTAGGACTGTCTGGTTAAAGAGAGAAATATTACAGATAAGGAATTCAGATCAAAACTATCTGATTTCTCTCAACAGCCAGGGAAGTCAAGAAGGCTGTTTTACCCTTCTCAGGTTTCTAAGCCAAGGGCTGTCCATTAACTATGCAAATGAGAAAAAACATTGTCCACAGATGGGAGCAGTTTTTATCAACAGATTGTTTCCTGGATAAGTTGTCTGCTTGGATGTTTTTACACACCAGGGTTTCCTTTTATGAGTGTATTTCCTGATGCTATAAGAACAATCATATTTCTTGAGGTTATAAGAACAATCAGCAACAAACATAAATGCCCAATTGTCTGCAAAATGGTTATCTATTACATATCCACTATGTAGCCCTCTTTGGTTTAGTATGTGATATTAAGAATGAGAGAGGAGTCCTACACATCAGTCAGGTTTTTATACTGAAATGGTCTTGCTTTCAATAACACCAAGAAGTAAGAACCTTAAAGGCTTGGAAATGGTCAATGACCTATCACACGGGTCATTTAAAACAAGGGAAGGATACAGTACTCCTGAATGTGCCATGGGGAACAATCCTGCATTTGCCCTTTTAGGGGTGAACATAGTGAACTCAAATAGGTTATTTCTGGCTCTAATGTCTAGGATAAAGAAGGGATGATTTAGAATGAGTTTGAGAGGAACTCAGCCTCGTACCTCAGGCACAGACACTGTTGAATTATGTGAAGCTCTGGATCTAAATCCAGATGCAAATATTGGTCCCCTTCTTTATTATCATAGGCCAAAGCAAACCCCTAGATCAGGGCACTTGTTTCTGCTGAGCATCATTTTGAGATTTTGAGTTTGTTCAAATGAAACAGAAGTGAATGTACATTGATGGACATGAAGGGAACATTGTCTTGAAATCCAGTGAAACAAAACAGCTCTGTACAGCATTTCAGCATACCCCCTACCAACTGCTAGACACAGCCCCAAGATGCCTGTCTGGAATGTTACTATTAGAAAAAATAGCTGTGCTTCTCATAAGAGGTACAAGGCATCCCACTGATCTTGTTATATGAGTGTAAGATAGTGAACTCAGCTCTAAGCTGTGGCCTAGATCAGGTGGAGTAATTATTATAGGGAAGAAGAGTAACCTCCAAGGTACTGAGTGATAGGTTAAGGCATGTGGGGTTTGAGTCAAGCCAAAGTAGCACTCTTAGTACATTAGGGGAGGAGGGAATGGGGGTAGTCATGGCATTGGGGGACTCCCTTCAAGGAATTTGAAAGTTCCTTCAAATGCTTCTTCAGTTGTCACATTAACCCTTTCTCACCCCATCTAGAAACACCAAGCGCACAGCTGAAGTGTGGATGGATGAGTTCAAGCAGTATTACTATGCTGCCCGGCCTGCAGCACAAGGAAGGCCATATGGAGAGTAAGTCTCACCTCTACTGGTGGAGGGAAGTACAGAGGTGTGCCTACTTCCCTGATGCTATGACAGTGCATAGAAGTGTTACAGAAGCAGCATATCCAGCTCTGGAAACCTCTCCAAACTGTTTCTGTAGTAACCATTAAGTGCAGATAGTAGGACAGGGTGGCCAGCCTACAGCACATGCACCCCAAGTGGCACAGGCAACTTCCATGTATGCAGCATGCCACAGATCAGAGAGGCAGTATGTTGGCAGATAGAACAGGAAGCAGAAAGCAGAGCAGCAGATTAAGTAGGGGAAAGGGGATTTGAGGGGAAGTTGTGGGGAGGGGGTGGAAGAAATTTGTGGTATGTCTGGCAATAAGTTTGGCCCCTGCTGTACTAGGGATGCTACCTGTAAGGAAAAAAGTCCCGTCTCCCAAACATAAAAACAACTAGTTTATAAGGAGTGTTAGTTTATCTCAGTGGGCTTAGATTCTTACTGGGGTGAAAACCATCAAGCAAGGTCCTGTTCTTGACTTTATTGCTCTAGTCTTAGAACTATATTTTAAAATTGCAATTTAGAAAGGAAGCTGATAGCAGAGAAAAAATCAGTGAGTTCCTAACCCAGATATGACTTCATGGAAGCTGAATTACTGCTTTATATTCCACCAGGGCAGTTGTGCTTCTCTCCTCTTTAATCATGGACAGTCAGGAATTCTCCCAATAAAAAATGGATGGATTTACTGGCAGCAATTCCTCCAGGAAGATAGCATCCAGACTTGCATTCTAATCCCCTGGTTTCACATGCTCCTCACTTCCTCCATATTTTTGCTGTCTAACTTGGACTGTCCACATAAACTTACAGTTCAAATATAAATTGCTGGAATAAATTCCTTTTGGTTGTCTTTTAATTTTCTGAGAAAATAGATTAAAATACTGTGGAGACTAGCCCATTCATGTTAAACCATTTTCTCCTCTCTGCTAGGAGAGAAAAGGGAAAGAATAGCTTTCTCACAGTAGGCAAATAGGGCTACAGAAAAAGAGAGGGGGATCTGAGAAGGAGAAAGATAGCTGTGGGGGATTCTTCTGACTGCTGCATAGTTACCAACAGCCTCATAACTCGACAAAAGCGTGTTTACAAGGGAAAAGTGAACAGGGAAAACATTTAAGCTCAACTGATGAATTTGACCCTTATTCCTCAAAGAAGTCAAGCACATGGGGTACCTATACACATGCTCCAACATGTTCTGATTAGAATGTGTTGGAGCAGACTCTATTAATTGAGTCTGCTAGAGCGTTCTAATTAGAGTGCTCCAGCGAGCTGTAGTATCTCGTGTATTCAGCGTCCCCACGTTTCAAAATGGTGGCAGAGGCAATTTAACTAAAGCTCGTCGAACAAACTTTAGTCAAAGCACCCCCACCACCATTTTGAAACACGGGGCTTAATACACAAGATGCTGGAGGTGTTTTAATTAGAGCGGCTCCCAGGAGCCGCTCTAATTAAAACCCTACCCCCAACTTCAAAACATGTATATAAATGCCCATGGTTACCTTAAGGCAAGTGTTAAGTCTCACTGATTTCAGTGGGTCTGAAGCATATGTTTATATGGTTTGCTGAATTGGGACCTTTTTAGTAGTGGTAGTAGTTTACACATGCATAACATCAGAGGTACCAAACATATGGCTCACCAGCCACAACAAGTCAGTAGGGCTATTTTGCCTGGCCCATGGGGCTCCTAGGTGGGTTGAGAATTCAGGGGCAAGGCAAGTGAAGGTGGGGTCTGTCACCAGATTCCCAGCTATGGAGTCCCACTGTACCTGTGAGAACTGAAAAACGGGTGTAAATCAATAAAAACTGAATGACTTAAAAAAAAAAAAACAACAGGGAATTTATCAGTGAAAACCAATGAAAACTGAGAATGGAGAACACTATTTATATGCTTAACCAGCCAAAAGATAATAAGAGTTTGTTACAATGAAAGCAACAGGCAAAAAAAAGGGAGGAAACAACCCTGTTATGCAGTTTTGCAAGTAAGCACTTATTGGATATGCATACAAGTGGCATACACATATGTATTAATTGCATGTAAAATTTAAAAAGTAAAGTCATATTGATTTAGTATATTAAATAGTATGTATTTATTATAAAGTATTCAAAATGATACCTCCCTGTTATATAGGTTTCTTCATGCATCAGTCTCAAAGCACCTTAAGTATCATTAGCCCTATTTTACAATTAAAGTATTGAGAAATTAAGTGATTGGCCCAAGACTATATAGCAAAGCAAGTAATAGAAACTATCTCCTGACTCCAAGTTTTCCATGTAAATCTGTGCTTGCATCCCTTGTGCCCTGGATTCAATCTTCATGACTCATGTCAATGTGTAGTATCTGTGTGTTTGCCATAATTATTGCATCTTTATAATAATTTCCCATCTCCAACAGTATCCAGAGCAGGTTGGAACTGAGGAAGAGGTTGAAATGCCGCACCTTCAAGTGGTACCTGGAAAGTGTTTATCCGGAACTTAGGTATTGGCCTACAGTTATAATCGTGTTTCTAAAGGCTAGTGTATGCTGATGGGCATATATCTGGTGCTTCATAAATCTCTGTTTCTGCCACTGCTTTCAGGTTCTTTGGAAGAGGGGAGAACATAGAAATTCTTAATGGACAATCTTGTAGAGCAGGGGTGGACTCTGGCTGTGATGAGGGATCTTCCCACAGCACCAGCCAACCACCCAGGCGAGAGCTGCAGTGGTGGAGCCCAAACAGCACCATGGGAAGAAGCTCGGCACCATGGCTTGTTCCTGTGGTGGGAGCCAAGTGTCTGGAAAGCAGGGTCTCTTTCCACTAGGTCCAGGACTGACTGGTGTGGATGCCACTTGCACTGGATCTGACATGGAGGGGCGGGGTCCATGGGCCTGATTTGGCCCACAGGGCATTCATCCAGTCTGCAGGCTAGTCCCGTACCACTCATTCAGCCTGTGGTGCCAGATGAGTTTGACAGCCCTGTTGTAGAGTTTTTTGTGTGCATGTGGTGTGGTGGTGGTGAAACTGTTCTCAGCCTGTTGGAGGCAGCAAAAGTCTGGGCTGGGTGCTGCTCCGTTAGAAGACATTTAGTGATTGCCACATTGTGAAGCCAGCAGAGACCATTTTTTTTTATCTTCTGCATAACACAGACCATAGGACTTCTTTAAATTAATTCCCATCTGAACTAGAGAATAACTTTTAGGAGGAAAAATCCAATTTTCATTAAAAAATTTCCAGTGATGGAAAATCCATCCACAACACTTGGGAAATTGTTCCATTGGTTCATTGCCCTCACTGTTAACAATCTCTACATTATTCCTAATCTGAATTTATCTAGCATCAACTTCCAAGCTTTGTAGCTTTATTATTCCTTTTACCTCTAGGCCTTTACTATCAGATTTCAGTTCTGCCCCTAGGTACTTGTAGCCTGTGATTGAATCACCTTCTCTTGGGCCTTCTCTCAGGTTTTCTGCTATGCTGTATTTATCAGCCACGCTTAGCTGGAGTCATCCCTGACACCAGAAAGGATGAAGGGGCCATTACATCATTTTGCTCAGTGTACGCCGTGCACCATCTTGGGAATATAGTGCAGAGGGTTCTGGGGAGGGGAGGGAGGATTTGTCGGAGTGGCTGAATTTGAAGTTAGAGTATGAAAAAGATTGATAACCATTTTATAGAACTTTCACCCAGTATAGTATTGCCCAATGGCAGTGCAGAGAGAGTGAAAGACTGAGTGGCAGCTTAATTTGAAGTTTCCTCACTTTTGTGAGCTGAAGACAGACCTTTACCAGTCTGCCAATTTATTTCTCTCTACTGTATTTGCTTTATGTCATGCTCTCTGTGTGTCTGAGCCTCCTGCAGGGATGCCATGTGGAAAGGCTTGCTGTCTGTCTCTGTGCACCTGTTCTGCAGTATTCATGTCCATCCCACCCCACGTATTATTCTTGCACGTGGTTATCAAGAGGCTTGCAGTTCTTGGCTTGAGAAAATAAACCAACCAACCCAGTTAAGAACTCCCCTCTCCCCCTGAATGCCATGCATGCTACAGCAAGCACAGTAACCTTATATTGGCGTGGTTTCTCCAGGATTCCTGAGGAATCATTATATCAAACTGGAATGATCAGGCAGCGACAAAGATGCTTGGAGTCCCAGAAGCCTGAAGGCCAGGACTTCCCAGCCCTCAGTTTGAATCCCTGCATCACCAGCAAAGGTGGGGCAGCTGTGGCACAGGTAAGTGTTCTAGGAGATCTTGATGGCCCTTGTCACACAGGCGGGAAGGAAGGGCAAGGTGCCCCAAAGTATTCACTTGGGATCTTAATGCTTCATTCAGGATGTGACAGGCTCAGAGAGGTAGGTGTGCAGCTGTACCTGTAACATGTATATACAGTGGCATGCTTCCTTTGCCCAGACAAATTAGGGCACTCTGCTGAGATGTGGCCTGTCCAGGGCCCTGAACCTTCAGTGCTTTGAGGCAGGTTTGCCTAAGGTCAGTCACTGGAAGATTACCCTCTTAAGGACCATCTTAGGGTGGGACAGAACTGCTGCTACCCTCCTTCCTGGCTGCTGGGAGAGGGATATGGCTGGGAAAATGGTGTGAAGACATATGATTAAGGACATGTTACACTTAGGACACATTAGCTGCACTTAAAATGCCATTGATGGAGCATTCCAGCAATAAAAAATGTGCTAAGTGCAATCATATCATAGCAAAGTTAGGACTTTTCACAGGAGGAGTATCTCCAGATCATGTTAGGTATCATGTATTCAGCTATCGTGGGACTGCTCCACAAAGATAATACGAGCACAGCTCTCTGGTTGTTGGTCCCCACCCTGGCACTTCACTGAAGTGTTGGACCAGCTCTGGTGTACTGCCAGGGCTGGAACTGAAAATCAGCTCATTGTCAATCCCAGCCCCAGCACTGTAGCAAAGTCGTGAATCAGTCCTGATGTGGTGCCAGGGTTGGGACCAGTAGTCAGCTGATGGCACCAAACCAGAGTCTTGAACCAGCTCTTTTGCAATGCTGGGGCTGGGATTGTTGGTCAGTTGATTGTCAGTCCCGTCCAAGGCACCTCACCAGAGCTAGTTCAAGCCTCTTGTACAGTGCTGGGCTGGGACTGACAAACAGCAAGCTGTGCATAAGAGATCATGTTAGAGATCATCAAAAGCATTACTGTGCAGTGGCTCAGAACACATTCAAACTTTTAATATGGCATGGTAATATCTACTGTGACCTAAATAAAACATGCGCTAAGTACCCCATGCCACAAGGCCCTCAGGCTCACGTAAACCCTGGTGATCCCCTGTTACCAACAAAAAAAAAGATAATTACAGGGCCACTGGGAGCTCCTGTTAACTGTCACAGTAACCATAGGAGCAGCCTTAAAACCAGACAGCCCTAGATTTGGGGTGAGCTGAACCCCCTCCTCTGAGCACCAAGGAGGCTCATCTGCAGCCCAGGCTGGTGCGATTGTCACACACAATTGTGATGCACAACTCAGAGGAAGAAAACAAGACCTATAATTTCCTCTAATCTTTCAGACCTATTTATTTCTCTTCATATTTCAAAATGCAGTGAATTACGATGGTATTTATAACTTCATAGTCTGCTTTCTTTCACTAGTAAATTGCCCATTAAACTAGCAAGAGCTTAATGAGCATGACCTCCTTTATTTATTTATTTATTTATTTATTTATTTTTGGGTAAATCTTTCAAATATTTTACATTACTTTTTTATCTTTATTTTGAAAAATATGCAGCATCAATCAGAATGCACTCTCAAGTCCCGATTTTCAAACATGTTAGATGGGAGAGGGGGCATATGGGCACTGGAATGGGACTCAGTTCCTGACTGTGCCACAGGCTTCCTATGCAACTGCAGCCAAGTCTTAATATCCTTGAACTTCAGTTTTCCCATCTGTAAAATAGGGATAATAGTACTTACCTGCTTCAGAGGGGCACTATAAAGATAAGTGCATTAATGTGTATGAGGTTATGGGAGCCTGGATAGCAAGTTATTAGATAATATGCAAGTGTATGCCTACCTTGGGCATACAAATGCAATGCGTGCACATAACCCTCATGATGGGTGCATGGATTATAACAGCAAAATGGGAAATTAGGAACATAAGGGACCAAAATGAACTATGCCTCTATGGGATTACCATTGTATATACACTTTACATATGCAGTTGCACAGCTTTGAGACTCTAATCTATGAAAAAAAATCTACTATATTACTGAAAGGAGAGTGGGAAGTGAATTTAGTAATTCCAGAAAACGAGTCCAAAGTGGCTTCGGGTGCTACCTTGGAGTTGCTGTTATAGTTTAACAGTCAATCTTTCTGCATTTTAAAAATCCTTTACTTTCTCTCTTGCTATATGGAAGACGCACATGAGCAACAGGAGAAATGGGTTAACTAAGGGCCCTACTACACTTCAAATTAAAGCTGATAGAAACCAGCTATAGAGTTGTTACACATTTTTAAGCACTAACTTTATATCTGGTTGGCTCTTTTTATAGCTGAATAGTCATTTTAGTTGGGTGATAATTAGTTTGCATGTGTGACTGGTCTAAATTTATTATGCAATAGCCAGTTAATTATGAAATATATCTAAGATATAGCAGAGGCGCCTTAAAATTCTGTTGGAAAGCAGGATTCTTTTCAAGAAGGGAATTTTCTATGGATTTTGATGATATTTTACATTTTTTTTCTGACATCCTGAAATGAAAAATATCATGTTGACTCATCAACGGGGATCCTGGTTTTCTCTAATAAAAAAAAATCCCCCATTTTCGGATGAAAAAATTAACACACAATCCACATTTTTCCATGATTAAAATGAAACACCACTATATATAGATATATATGAAAATCGAGGATTTTTTTTATCAGAGAGATCCAGGATCCCTCCCTGCTCATCAAGTTGTTTGTTTAGATTTTAAAAAAATCAGTGGTTTTTGTTTTGACATTTCTGATTAGAATTTTTCAGACCTTAATGGGCAATAGCATTTTTCAGCATTTTGCTTTTCTACTCTGATTCAGAATTTCTCCCAGGATAAAAATGCCCTTTCTTGTTCAGCTTTAAAACTAAGTCTACAGGGCAACTGACTATAGAGAAAGTGCTGAACTACTTCAACTTTCTATTAGTTGCTCTGATAAAGTAGGCAGTAGCCTATGAAAGCTCATGCCTCTATGAACAAGCTAGTCTGTAAGGCTGCATCTGGACGAGCATGGACATTTGGTTCTCCAGGGACAAGTAGCGACAGCTCACCTTGCACCACTGCTACTTGTCCCTGGGGAACGCCCATGCCACACATGCTTTGGTGCATGGCAAGTTACCCCGAGTAGGGTAGGGAAGGCTGGGGCCAGGGTCAAAAACCTGCAGCAAAAAAAAAGCGGAGCAGCACACTCACAGGCAATGCTTTCTTGCAGCACAGAAGACATTTGAATGTACGGTATGTGACACCGCAGACGTGTTTGCGGCACCACATACCACATGGCTGCACTTGTCTGGATGCGATCTAAGGTCCCACCCTGCCTTACCAAAGAAAGAGACAAAAGAAAAGAAATGTATTTCTCGCTTCAGTTTTTCTGTTATAGTGATCCTAGGTTTTACTTGTTACCTGAGGAAGTAGAACATTTCAGACAGAACTATCATTTTTTTTTAAATGGACAGTGTGCCTTTAAATTTAATTTGAATCACGGAAATGTCAACAAATTACCAGCTCAGTCTTAATTCTGTTCCTTGCATGTATTACAGTGGCAACTTTCCTTGACAGATTGTGCAACTTAGAGAAAGCAGTAATCCTAAATGCTATTTACGTGCATTTTTGGCCATGAACAACAGCACGGTTCTTTTCAGTTATATCATATTTCAATCAAAGTTTCTTTATCCAGTGCTTGATTATATGAGTTTATCCAAAATAAGGTTGTGCTCTCTGATATATGTTGAATACACTGAAAAGTTCCTGACTATCCAAAATTTATAGTAGTAGTAGTGTTAATTTGGTTGCTTCTTTGTACTTCTATAGTTCCTTTCATGCAAGGATCTCAAAGCCCTTTACAAGCATTAATGAATCAAGGATGAGATTTTTAGTTGGTAATTAACCCTTTACTGCAATGGTGCTAGCATTTTAGTGGCACTAGACAGCTCAGCAGCGGCAGATCCAGGGTTTGGCACAAGAGGGTGTGGAAGCAGCAACCTGTGCTGCAGGGATAGCTGCCCTACCCCCTCCCAGCCTTCTCCCCCAACACTGGTGCAGGCAGACCTCTCCTCCCCTCCCCTGTCCTCATGTCTCACTGCTGCTGGGGAAGGGAGGGGGGATTCTCACCTGCTTTGAGGCCTTTAAAAATTTCCCAAAGGCCCCCTCAGCATGATGCAGTTTGAAGGGGGGCGGGATGCACCTGCACCACTGCACCCCCTCTGGATCCACCACTACAGCTGGCCTTCGGTCTAATGACATCTCTTTCATGTAATGTCAGCATTTATTACAAGTAGAGAAACTGAGGCACAGGGAGATTAATCGCTGCCTGATAGGTAAGTGTCTCGAATACCCACAGTGTGCATTGACAGGCATAATAACATAAGAAATGCCATGCTAAGAAAAAACCCCAGGTCCATCTAGCCCAGTATCCCATCCCTCACAGTGGCAGGGACAGTGGCCCCCAGACTCCAAGGCTCTGCCTGCCTCCAACCCTGGAACACGTGAGATCTGAAGCTTATATTCTTCACAACTGCAGCTACCATTGCCCGATCCATTAAGCTCTTGAGATGAGTGTTTTGGGATCTGGGGCCTGTTATGGGGAAA